ACAACTGCAGGGATTCACTTAACAGCTGTGGCAAGAAAGATTGTAAAATGGGGAAAAACTCATTTAATTTCAGTATTAAATGAATAACAGTAATGTTGGGCTCAATTGGGGTTATAAGTGAAGGACTATCTGAAGTTCTTCTGGATATTAATAACCTCTACTGCAGGGGTGTCAAACTCAAAGCTTAGATGTTGCCCCTGGGGCCACCCTGGAAACTGTGAAAGACTGACCTGCAGTGCCTTTGCCAGCGAAAACAGCGCTTAAAGAGCTGCTTGCGGTTCCGCATGAGTGGCGGGCAAGTATGTGCAGCTCCACTTGTGTGAGTGGCAGGTACACCTGCTGCTTGTGCAAATGGAGTGGGCACGTACATGCTTGCCTGCCGCTCGTGCAAGTGGGGATACACACGTACACACGCTCGTTGGGACTCCTGAATTAGTAAGCAGGACCTTTGCAAGAAGTTAAAAAGAATATAGCATGTAATGGTGGGTTGCAGGCGGTACGCCCCAGTACGGGCGTACCGAAGCCTGCCCAAAGCACCGGTACCGTTCCGGTACAGTGCTCCAGAGGGCCCACCCGTCCACCTGTGCTCCTTACCTGTCTTTAAACCCTTCTGAGCTTCTGCGCACTCGCATGGCACATACAGCGCCTGTGCAACACTCCGCTGAGCAGCTGGAGTGTCGCAGAGGCGTCGCTGGATGGTAAGATGCACTGCAGACGTTCATGTGGAGGATGCCGTACCAGTTGCAACGGGATCCGGAAACTACCACTGATAGCATGCAATATTAACTAGTCCAGGATGGGGGTAATAAAAAAAGGATATCAAGTTACCTTCCATTTTGTCGGAAAAAATTCTCTTCAAAATCTCTCAATTTTTTCCTGATCCTCTTTTTATCTTCCCTGACTTCTTGAAGCTGCTCCACAAGTTCACGCCTACAAAATGAAAGGAAAACCAGCAGCGTGATATTAGACAAGAGACAAAAGGCCAACGAGCATGGAAATAAAGCCAGTAAAGATACATTTCTCCCAAGTATTGTTTGTGTTTGTCAGAAAACAAGAAAGTGTCTGGCTTATTCTTTAAAAAATAAAACTTCTAGGTTTCCAGAGTGAACATAGCAAAGGGCTTTATATTTTAAGTCTATTAAATTATCATATTGAAGCCTGTGGAGTTTGAGACTTCAGTAGCTTAATTCTCAATGTGATAATTCACTTAACTTCCCCAATTCCAATTAGCTAACTTAACCAGTACCTGTTGAATTATATAAAGTTAATCATACTTGACTAAATGCAAACAATTTAAAACTGAATGAAATTCAGTTTACTTGAAATTCTATTCTATTCTATTTTATTCTATTCCATTCCATTCCACTGTTGCAACATTTCCCCTATTTTTGAGGGGGAAATGTCAGGCATTCCATTTTCTTGCTGCAACACACTGCCATGAGTCAATTTTGAACAGGAAACAGGCTGACTTCACAGAGTGCAAAGGCCATTCATCCAATGCATAGAAATTGCATTTCAGAGCTTTTTTCAATTCTGCCCCCTGCATGAGATGTGAGGGAGGGGACTTCCACAAAGACGCTGTCTACTCCCTCCCTCTCAAGAAAAAAACTGAAATGCAACCTTTGGCTGAGTGGTCAATAAACGGCAAGGATTTCACCACATTATCACTGTGAAAGTTTAGTTAACAACTCAGCCAATAAAAAGAAAACTATACCCAGAACATGGAATTGATTTACTAAAAATCTGACATACATAGAAGCAGCATGAAGGTTGGACAAGCCCCTGTCCTGGCTACTTCTCGAAGGGATCCTATCATCCACTGGAGAAATGAAACCATCGACGTCATCTTCTAGTTGGTCCAAAAAACTTCGTACGCCTAAGTCAGATTTTACGGTGACTGTCAAATCAGGCTTCACATTGCTGTCATCCTCAGATCCATCCTCTTCTTCCTGGGGAGAGATTTTGATTTCAATTGTTATTAGCTTCTGATAGGGGGCACATTATCCAAACGGTTCACATTCAAAAGAAATATGGAGAGACCAAATACTTTCAAACACAGCATGGGAAAGAGCAATCGACCTGTTGCAATCCTGTGAATGCTTCTTTAGCTTGCTTTCTAAATAGCCGGGATTGTCGGAACCAAGAGGAAAGCTGGCATACAGAAATATACAATGAACGTGGCTAAGATTTGCAAAGAAGCTAGTAGGCCGATATAGAGGACAGCGGGCATGGAAGGGTGGTGGTAGTGTGCTATGGGGCAGGGGCCTCCAACCTTGGCAACTTTAAGCCTAGAGGACTTCAACTCAGGGGTGAAATCCTCCTGGTTCAGCCGAACTGGTAGGGACAATTGTCCTTGGTTCTGTGAACTGGTAATAATAATAAAAAAAAAGCTTCCGAGAATCGCAAAGCATTTTTCCCGCCAGTTCAGCCAAACCAGCAGGGAAAAAATGTTTTAAAAAGTGAAAAAAAGCTGGCCACGCCCACCCACTCACATGACATCCCCCTCCCCCCCCCACCAAGCCATGCCCACAGAACCGGTGGGAAATAAAATTAGATTTCACCATTGCTTCCACTCCTAGAATTCTGGGAGTTAAAGTCCTCCAGGCTTAAAGTTGCCAAGCTTGGAGACCCCTGCTCTGGAGGATAGGGTCACGGAGAGTCGGGCACGACTTAGCAACTGAACAACAACAAAAACGCACTAACGTTGACCAGACCTCCCCCCATTCTAAAGGATGTACCAATGTTTTATTTTCTTTTGCCAGCTGGAATCCAGCAAGTGAAAAGACCACAGCACTTAAGACCGCACCCAAAATATACCTTCCATTTGGATTATCTGAACCTAGTATTTATACTGTGGCCACATTTAATTGTCAAATAATCTATTTCTAGGAACAGGACAATGCCATAAAGGCAGCGCAAATAGCACATAGGAGACCTTGAACACAGGAAGTATTTTAGGGAACTAGGATTTATTCATCTAGACAATAGGCATTGGCTATTCTGCTCTTCCCAATTTAGACACTCTCTGGCTGGATAGATTTTAATTCTCGTAAGTCTACACCCAGCATGTCCACTGTGGAAAATTCTGAAGGGCCCACATTTGGAGGACATCCGTGTTGGAGAAGAATGGTTTACTTGACATAGTAATGGCTGTCTTAGGACTTGGGCTATTTCTGCTGCTTTTAATCCTTTTAGCTCAGGGGTGTCAAACGTGCATTGTCACGTCGTTATGTGACGTATCACGAGTCCCCCCCCCTTCACTAAAACGTGGGTGTGGCCAGTGTGTGATGCATCCAGGCT